GGCAAAATTAAAATCTCTTAAAAAATTTTTTTGTAGCACTTTTGATTATAATGTCATGCCTTTTGTCACAATAAAACAGATCTACTGATTCAAGTTATTCTTATGTGGAGTTCTACCTAAGTACAGAAAATGTATCCCCAAACTCTCACATCTTTAAGGTATTTTTGTACCTTTGTTGAGTGAACACCATGAAATAAATCTTCCTACAGATTTGTCTCTTGAAATTTTTCACTGCTGAGATTTTGAGAAATGTTCCTAATGAAACTAACCTCAGACGAAATCAACACAGCAGCCCCAAAATCACACAAAATGGGTTGCTCCTCAGAAACCATTTAAGTATCACTGCTGTTGCTGTTGCTGGCACCTGCTGTAAAATTAAATTCCTGAAATTGTTTTCAGTCATAGTGGGGACTTTACTGATAGAGGAAACAATGATATTACATTCTATAAAATCCTAGCTGCTTTTCTTACCCTGGTTACACTATTCTCCAAATGACAAATACTTTGACTTGTGGAAGCATGTTGACATTGCAGTCCGTTTCCAAGTATCAACAATAAAAAAAAAATTGCATGCTTAATGGGAACCCTAAAAACGAATTTATGAAATCACAAGCACAAATAGCCTATCAGATGATTTCACATCCATTCTCTATTCTATATAAGGTCTCAACCAGGAAAGGAGTGCCTGAAGAGGTTAGGTGTCATGAGATTGTTTTTCAAGCAGCCTCACAGAGAGACATTAGCCTGATGTATTTTCCACAGTCTAGAATTTGGTCCATGGCCTTGCAGGCTTGGAAACTTGATCTATCAACAAAGCTGGAGCAAATTCACATCCTGGAGGTAGATTTATAACTCAAAGAGCACAAAATACCAAAAATTGAAAAATCAAGATGCAAATACATTAATTTACAACGATGACCCTAGTGTCAGATGGACTAAAACACTGCTGGGCCAAGCTAGCACATTTTCTTCCTTTGGACAAATCTAGATAGAGAACCAAATTATAATCAGAAGTTACTAACTGATGACAAAAAAGTGAGACGACAGGAACATATTAAATAAATTAAATGCCAGACTAGAATTAAGATTCTAGTTCTACTACTTCCTGATTTACCCTGATATTTCACACTAGAGATAGGCAACCTACCAGACTCATCAAGCAGCTAAGGATGCCATGTCTTCAGGGTGGCATTAGCTGGGAATTGCAGACTCTCCTGTGTGGCTAATTAATATGTTTCTGACTGACATATTTTTCTTTAGCTACCTTAAATCTAATTCTGGGAGAAAATCAGTTGCCTAAGGTAACATTTGCTCTCTCTGGTAATGCTATTTAAAGGATTCATCAGATTCATTCATTCCTCTTTTCATCTTTTCTTTCTTTCTTTTTTTTTTTTTTATAGTCATTCTTTCTTTTCTATACATACCAACAAGTCTAGGTCCTCATTGCCTTATGGCAGGGGCCTACTGGTCTACCTACCTCAAACCGGTCCTATTGTGCAACTCCAAAGATCACTACAATATAAATCTACTTTAAAGTAGGATTTTATACAGGTCTTTTCCCATTTTCCCACCTTCACTCATACCAGAAACTTTCAGTGATTCCTACCACCTTCAAAGTTAAGTTCTAATTGCTTAGCTTGCCATTTAAATTCTTTCATAACTGTGCCCAATTTATTATCATTTTTCCACTTCATGAACCTACTACTCCAGTCCAATCTCTTCATATTCTCTGTGTACCCCTAAATTCATGCATCTATTCATTCCTGGGGTCAACTCGAGATCTACCTCCTCCATGAAACTATCTCTGAAAGTCCAGATCTGAAACTAACCTTTCCATTCTTTAGATTCATTTGGTATTTAGTATTTCTGGAAAGCAATTATTATATGTTGATATACCATCTCCTTAATTAGAATAATCTCCTTACTTACAGGTGGGAACTGTACATTTTGCCTTTGTTATATTCTATTTCTTTAGTTCCTTAATATCAGGGGTACTCAAACAACAGGCCTTAGAACTTGCCCTGTCCACTTGTAGGTAAAACTACTACATTTCTTTCAGAGCCTCAGATAAAACTTGAAAAAAATTAGCCTTAACAGAAGATAGGAGCTGCCTCTTGAATTGTCCTTGGGATATTAGTAGTTCATGGCTTCTTCTAGGTCCTGGGAATGATTTCAGAAATCAGTGTACTCCCTCACACCATCTTTTGCTCTCTGTACTGTTTGATATTACAACACCTCTCTGTACTGTTTGATATTACAACACCTTTCACTGTCAATCTCAAAGTAGAGTGTTAGTTTTAAAAATAAGCTAGACCTCTGATATATAGAGATTATTATCAGGATATTAAACAGCAAGAATGATACAGGAGGTAGTTATATAGAAAAGCATAACAAATACATCTTTTAGTATGATGGTGGAGTTGATAAAATTTTTTCATACAAAAGATATGTTAGGTTTACTGGAATACCAAAGAAATCAAGAAGGAAATAACCTTAAGCTATTTTAGCTACCATTTAGCCTTTCAGCATTCTTGTTGTGTAATCATACCTTGACCAGAAGCCTCATTGTAAAGTGCTTTAAAAAGACCACCCAACATTTGTCTAATACAATGAGCTGATGTGCAGTCATATCTAGGAAGACACAATCTCTATCATTTCGTAGCACAGCATTACTGCTCATGGGGAGGACATCAGAATGTTGTCAACATGGTCTTCTGTGATTGTGAAAGACATGAAAATACACACATCAGCTCATATTTCATGGAATTTGGCAAGCCCACATCAGAAATGTTGGGGAACAATCTGGCTAAGTCTTGAAAGTAGGAAGGAGAAATCTAATTCAAAGTGGAGTGAAGGTGATAATCTTTCCTAGGAAGGAGGAAATTGCCAGATTAAGCAGAGGCAATTAAGCTTGATTAGTTAATTATAAAAATACAGTCAAAATAAAAATAGTTTAATTGTAGTAAATAAAAGTAAAAGCCATATTAAAATGGAGTAATAATTTCCTGGGCAAGGAATAATTAATTCTTAGAGGTAGACGATCAAGAAAGAGTTTGTAAGATACCTGATTGTCTTCCAATATAAAAAACCCGAAGATTAATTATGCTTATACCGAACGAAAATTATCATGATATATTCTATTTAACATATGCATTAATGTAAGATATTAGAAGACAAAATTTTGTGAAATAGATCCAATTTAAAATCAACACAAAACAAAATTTTTAAAAACTTGATATTCCCAGGAAAAGTGTTCTCTAACTGTGAGTGATAACTTCTTTCTTTTTTGTGACATAATCTGAGAGTTCTAATATGTCTTAACACAAGCTGACAAAGGTAGACAAGAAAATAGAAGCCATTTGTTATATTCCAATGAGTTCCCAGTTTAAACACACTGAAAGTAGACTACAGAGGGGATGATTGTTTATTTTCATTTGTAAATATGTTTGAAAAGGAGCTTCCATAGCTTCCTCTAAATCCCTTGTCAACTCACAAAGAAATGTGGATTTTTAGCCCATATTTCACATTTTTGTGTATGACAATTTTCATAATACACAGACAAGATTTGAGTTTGAAGTAAGGAGCTATAAGCTGCCTAAGAGAGTAAACTTTAGGACCTTATGATCATATAATCTATTTACCCTTATATCTAAAAATATGATTTTTGTTTTAAAATCAAGTCTTTTATGTTTGCAAAATACTCTACTTACCAATATAATGTATGCCACATTTAAATAGTTATACCTGTTAGAAAGGAGAGCTGGTGGGCGAATGATTAAATACCACTATTTCCTCTAGATAGATCCCACCTTCCATGTGAAAGTTGCAGTCTGGCATTTAGATTTTCTTCACTTTAAATGAGTACATGAAGTCCTTACTTAGTATAAGAAAAATTTTCCTTGGGAAAAATATTATCTACCTCACACATTAAAAAAATATTTGCTACTTTCACTCAACTTTCCATGTACTTAAAGAGCACTCTAGAGTTAAAATGACTTTTCACAAGTTGAAGATGTAGAAAAATCATTTAAGAAGGCAAATTTTCTACTCTAAGTGCTCTTTTTTATAGTACATTCTTTAATTATGAGATAGCATATTTTGATTCTGAAATTTTAAGTTACTTTAGAGGTATTTTGGGCTCTAAAATAATCATGTTTGCCTGCTGATTTTCAAACCAGAAATTAATCAAAAGACTATAAGCAATTAAAATGTCACCTCGAAACCCACTATAAGAACTGTTTTTATTGTACAGATATCAGTCCAATAGAATGTAAATGATTTCACAACCTTTAAAGTCTAACTTTAAAATTATTGTTTCTCATTTGGTCTAATATTTCAATTTATTCCAAGAAACATGGATGGATGTACTTGGCTGTACACATATAAAATTTGTTAATTCATATTCCTATCCTCTTCTAATTAATTTTTTTACAAATCATGCATAGCAACAATTCCATCAGAAAAACACATGCCATAAATCTTAATATTTGCAATATAGTGCATTATTTCATAATCAAGTGGTTAATCTTAGGAAAATAAAAGTCGTGAAAGACAAACAAAACCTTCAAATCTCTTTAATAACAATTATTTTACATATAACTAAATATTTTAATTAAAAATCATAAAAATTTGTGTACATATTAAAGGAAAGGACAATTGAAGTGTAATCAGAAACTGAACCCTCTAAAACTATGGCTTGGCAAATAAAATTTTTAAAGTTCTTAAATATTAATAGAAAAATGTACATTTAATAATATGTTTCCATTAATCTATTTTGAAATGATACCTTGATTTTATTAACCCAGACATTGATACAGCAAAGTAATTTTCTTTTTTATGAAACCACGAAGGGGAGTTAACAAATATTTTCCGTAACCAGAAATTTACAAAATATTCACTTTGAAACAGTCCATAAAGAAAACATGTGATGTTTTCTTGGACTGTAGATGAAATGATAGTTAAACTCAACTTGAAACAAGAGAGCGTTACTATCAACATACCTTGTCCTTGGGTTACTCCATAAAATTCAGCTGCTATCCTTGCCGCTTCCTTGCGGTTGCCTTTCACGATGTAGAAATGACTGAGGATGGCAAGGCTGATTTTCACAAAAAGCTTAAAACAGAAAAGTGAAAGTATTGTAAAGTAGACATTGGATAACTGTTGAGCAAATGGTCGGCTTTCTTCTAACACCGACATTGCTGCACAGGAATCTGTGGCGGTCTTCGGTGAGATCCAAGTCTCAAATGTGCCTGGCTCTCGTCCGGGATTCTCCTGAACAGCTGGTCTTGAAGAAAGAAAATATCAGCTGGTAATGATGCCTCCAGCTCAAAATATTTATACTGACCATAAAAGTTCTTTGCAAACTCCGATTGGTCTGACAATATTCCAGGAAAACAACTGCAACACGTGCCTCGTTTGCTAGACTCCTGACTTTCCAGTCTCAAAATAAATAAACACCCCACCTCTCTGCTCTGAATTTCAAAATCCAGGTATTGAAATTTATATACAGATTATTTCCTTTTTTATTAGTATCTAATTAGTATGAACACTTTGAAAACTGTGTATGGGGTTTCTGTTGTTAATGTAAATGATATCCATAACAGCAAGAAAACTTAAGTCCATCAATTCAAGCCTATAAAATGGCCCTATTTGTAGATCATGATCTAAATCATCAAATAGTCCATGACGATGATCTTCATGACTACTCATCAGATTATCCAATTATGTTGCTTTGACCGTTGTCAGAAAAAAAAAATGTTTACACATGGATTGACTGGAAAGCCATAGAATAATGACTTTAGACTGTTCATTCATTCAGTGAAAACTTTTTAAGCAATAACAATGTGTCAAACATTTTGCTTGATGCTCGGGAGCCAAAGAAAAAATGTAATGTCCCTGCCACAAGTTTCTCATAGTCCAGAGGAGGAAACAGGAAAGAAGTCAGACAAATCCAGGTGAGGACAGGGTATCATGGGAGCACAAAGAGTAAGGGCATAATTCTGATAAGGAAGAGTCAAAGAAGGCTTCCTGGAAGAGGTGACATATACAAACAGTTATCAAGTAAACATTAGTATTTCATCTAGACTACCTAGAACCAAGCAAAACAATATACTTTTTAGGCCTATAATCTTTGTTAACTCTAATTTGATTTATTTTATGAATGAAATGCAACTGTCATAAGGGCATGCTTAGGCAAGCTATAGTTTTAAAAGAGATATAGAGTAAAATATTAAGAAAAATGTAGAGTGGCAATATTTTGGTACATAGCCAAAAATAATATTTCAAAACATAAAATGGCATATTATATAGGGAACTTATTTATACATTTATACAACTAGGTTTGGGGCCTATTAATCATTGTATTGTTTCCCAATTTTCTGAGAAGCTCCAAAATAACAAATCATAAAAAAACACCAATGTTCATAGCAGCATTATTCACAGTGGCCAGGACATGGAAACAACCGAAGTGTCCTATGATAGATGATTGGCTAAAGAAACTGTAGTACATATACACAATGGAATATTACTCAGCTATAAGAAGAGATGAAATACTGCTATTTGTGACAATGTGGATGGACCTTGAGATAATCATGCTAAGCAAAATAAGCCAGACAGAAAAAGTTGAAAATCACATGATATCACTTATATGTGGGATATAAACCTAAAAGCAACAAATGAACAGGACAAACGAACAGAGACTCATGGACATGGACAATAGACTAGTGGTTACCAGAAGGTAGGGAGGGAGTGGTGGGAGGAGGGAGGTCGATGGGGTAAAAGGAGTCAAATATGTGATGACAAAAAGATCTCTAACTATGGGAGGTGAATACATAGTGTAAACATATATGCCTTACTGTTAAAGTGTACACCTGAAACTTATTGGATTTCGTTAACCAATGTCACCATAAAAAATAAATTAATTAAGTTTTAAAAATCTATACAAAAGACATAAGAAAATAGAAGTGGCCTTCTTAGAATAAAAGAGCATACCAATGATTGGTGATATTAGTAAGTGCTGGGTGCTTCTCTGACTTGCTGTATGCTTTTAATGCCGTGTATCTTATCTGACCGAACTGATTTACATGAAACATTCCTGAGACAAAGGAGACATTGCTATAAAATAAATATGTCAAATAAAGTAAGCTTCTTCGTTCCCAAATGATTGAGTGGCTCTTAGTAAAATAAATTGTCATTATATTAAAAAGAAATCACTGAGTTCTTTATGAAAATAGCCCTTGATATTGTTTTCACAGGCAGAGAACTAGACCCAGTGTCCATTTCATCTGTGCTCTGGGAATCAATGAAAATTAACTCTAATGTATTGAAGGTAAAGTAACCAAATGTTTCTCCCTTTCAGTTGTGGTGCAATTATGCCAGTTAAGTAGTTACATGACCATCACCTCCAGTTGGTCTTCCCTCTGGCATTGTGATGCCTGACTACACACAGGAGAGGCAGGCTCCAGGGACAGCTGGACCATCACAATGCTCTGAGTCACTGCAATGACTTCCACTTCAGTGCTTCAGAATTACAAATAAATTCTGCCTAAGTCACGACTGAGCGTCTAAGGTTTCACTCTTTCATCTTTACCAGTAAATGCTATCATAAATAATTATCTCTACATGAGCTAATCAGATGCCTAGATTCTTTTGGGTTGAGAAATACTTTTATTTCAATAAGGCTGCTATCATTGGGCTTTATGTTTAATTCCCTACAGTTTTACTACTAGAAAAATACTACTGTCTAATATTTAGGATTTTATGTCAAGTTGTCGAGTTTTGTTTTAATGAGTTCCTTGATTCCCATCACAATTTTCTGTGTGGATATATACTCTCTTTTAGCAGCTTTTACAATCTCTAGTTCTATTAATCACTAAATAAAGATTAAAGCTAAATAAAATAACTCACAGTAAGTTAACTCATCAAATGTAAATGAGATGCTGTATTTTCATATTATAGATCTTTCCAAATAACACCACAAATAACTTTATTAGTATTTAAGAGACATATGAAAAGTATCGTGCCCCTATCTTCTAAGCATTAGCATTTTCTTTAAAAAAAAAAAAGCGATTAGTAATTTAACTGATTTATTCAGATAATACTTTTATAATTTACATTGTTGAAAGGTTTTATTGAGATAATACTTTTATAATTTACATTGTTGAAAGAATGTGGAAGGGGTATTTGGTTGATTAGCCAGTACATCCCAACTATCCTAATTTTGTTTGTTTCAACCAACCAATCAATTAATCAATCAAACCCAAACTGAGCTCAACAATTGTGTTTCTAGGATTGGTGACAGAATGAGTGATGTGAGAGAAGTTAAAAACACAGGAAGAAATCATTTATTGAAAATCCACTATATTCTATATAAATCTTCTCATTTAATATCTCTATCTCAGAAGGGTATTATTATTTAATTTTAAAGGTGTAGAAAGTTGGGTTCAGAGAGTTTAGTGACCTATAAAAGTTTATTATGAGCAATAGCACTATCTGAACATAGTTCTGACTCTAAAATACATGTTCAAGTTACTGCTTATATTTTCTATTTTTAAGAATTTACAATCCGAATGAGCAAATATCATTTATGCATACAGAGAATGAGACAGTTGCCCAAATTCTCTCTCTCTCTCTCTCTCTCTTTCTCTCTCTCTCTCACACACACACACACACACACACACACACGGAAGAGATCACTTTGAGATTGTATTTAATCAGGTACCCAAATTAGTACCTAAATTAGGAGGGCAAGATATACGCAATGATTAAATTAAATGGAATCTTGTATGTACTCAAGAAATGGGAAAAAAGGAAAAAGAGAATGCTTCATGATGGGGCTAATACTTTTGGATTATTCAAAGCTAAGAGTTGGTGAGTAACTCCCATAAAAACAACAGAGAAGTAGATAGAAGGGTCAAAATAGAGTAGTCAAGAGTTACTACATTCAAAACATAGAGAAATGATTAAAATGAAAAAGAATAAAGATAAAGAAAAGGATATTAGGTCTGGCCAGAGGAATTCACTGGCTTTCAGCTCAGTATTTTAGTATGATTGTGAAGTAGGAATCAGGGCAGCAGTATGAAGGTGTGATCCTAAAAGCAACTTCCAAAGAAAAAGTCTCCTGGGCTTTCCCCTATTGTCACCGTCTGGGTACTGGCTCTGCTCCTCTCTACCATATGGTATCAGAGGAGAGTCCTCTCTGAGGCTGCCCTGGGACTCCCAACCTTTCTCCTTTCACATCTCTTGTTCACCCACCTTTAGCATCCCGGGTTATTACATGAAGAGGAATTTGTTGTTTCATAGACTTAATTTCATGTCATTAGGATGTTAAATATGTTAATGACTCCCAAAGGTGGTCAGATTAGTCTTTAAATTCTCATAAAAGAGAGCATCTCATTTCCAGAGATTATAGTGCTCAATTGTTTTGACTTAGCTACAGTATTAATCCAAGTTATTAGGTTGAAAATGTCAACAGGACATAATAAAAATTGCCTATTTCTAGTGCTTTCCAGTTGATAAATCTTAGTGTGTGGAGGAAAAAGGGACCACAAACTATACCGGACAAGCTCAGAGGAGACCAGCATGGCTGTCCTGACATACTCAGAGACTGAAATTCACCACATAGGATGGTCTGAACATAAAAATTTCTGACTAAAAGTGAGTTATTGTGGTTAGTTACATCCTAGGCCTGTAGCTTCCTTGACGAAAGTCAACTTTACCTTAAGTGAGCCTGTCTGTCCATTGTCATTTTGCATCTAAGAAAACATACCTTTGAAATGTGAGAGAAATCCCCTTTTCCAGACCATTCAGGGCATAACCTCCCACCAGAGTAGGGACCACAAAACCCTCATGGTTACCTTGTCCCCAGCATGCCATCTCTATGTGCTGTAAATGTTAATTACTAACTCTCCCGTATCCACCAATGTAATGAAGTATGTCTCTCTGTTTTACTTTTTATTATATCTCAGAGATTTCCATTTTGCTTTGTCTTGACTCCTTAATCTGCCACCAGTGGATTTCACCTACCCCTCTTTATGTCTCCTTTTATTCGAATGTCATTCTCTGGAGCATTTTCTCAGTCCATTGAGATTTTTGCTTGCTGGCAATTGCCATCAGTTTGGCTCAAACTCTATAAACTCTCTACAGGTTTGGACTTTTCTTATGTTGACAGCATAAATATTTTTATGTGGAAGGAATATAGTCACCCCATTGAAATGACCGTTTCCTTTTTTAAAAAATGTGATTCCTTATTTTCTGGCAGAAATCTAAGGGCT